AAAAAAAAAGATTCACATTCTGATTCAATGAAAATGAAACCCACTTACCAATACAGTAGCCAGTTGTCATCTTGATTTCAAAGAGCGCAATGCTGGCTGTGTTTCCCTGTCCTAGTACACCTTCTATTAAAATCTGCACAACACATGGGGAAGAAGGGGAGTTAGACTTGGGAACACCATGTCTCCTTGGTTCAGTATTTCAGCTCTTAGAAGCTGTACAGCAATTCAAGGCAAAACAGGATTGTTAGTCTCAGATAATTGCTATTGGATACCAGTCTCACTATGGATGCATGTGTGTGTGCACACGTGTGCATGCATGTGTGTGCACATAAACACTTGTCCATATATACTGAGAACTTTGAGGTGAGCAAGGTGTCCAATAGAAGCTCAGACTCAGCTGTGTTCAGTGCTTGTCGTAGTGCCAATTGGCCACAGATGGAGAGGACAGCTTGTGTCCCTGCAGAAGTCCATCTTGAGGATGGTCAGGAACTGAGGACAGAGGATTCTGGGGAAAATCCCCTGGAGGGGGAGGAAGGAAGCACAATCTGCCACGGTGGTGGGAGACACCCACATGAGATGGGAGGCTCATGAATGAACTTATAGTTTCTATACCAATGAAAAATTGGAAAACTTTTTTTTTAATTGGCATCTGGCCCGTAAGGGGATCTGAACCCTTGAACTTGGTGTTTTCAGCACCACACTCTAACCAAGTGAGCTAACTGGACAGCCCTAATTTTTAAAATATTGTCTCAGGAAGTATTCCATTTATTTAAGATTTTCTTTTCTTGGTGGTTTTATTTTTTTTTTTTTTGGCAGCTGGCCAGTATAGGGATCCAAACCCTTGACCTTGGTGTTATAAGGCTGCGATCCAACCAAGCAAGCTAACTGGCCAGCCTGAAAACTTTACACAAAGAACAGACGGAAGCATGGCAATTCATGTGGCTAATTTCAAGGAATGTTACAATTCACATTTCGTCCTGTTTCTGAAAGTTCTAATAGCTTTTTCTTATGCGGCTTTAGCCTGATATTTTGCAATGCTTGTAGGTTTTGGATGTGATATGCTGGTAGATTTGGGAGAATGCTGTAAAAGAGGAAACTCAGACCACCTGTGCTCCTGCTCCCAACCACTGCCTGATGTGGAGGGACCCCAAGCAGACGTGGAGAGTAGAGTATTTCAAAACTTTTCAAAGAAGAAGAGGATGGGATAAGGAATTGAAAGGTAGGTTAGGAATGGAGAAAGTTTTCATGAAGGCTCCATTGTGTCCTCCTCAATGGCATGTTCTCAATAAGCGTCACACTTCATGGCTGAGCATGTCCAAACTCCAACCCGCTTCCTTACTCCAACCCTCACCTAACTCCATCTCATATTCTCCACCTTCCTTTTCCAGCACGTCTGACAGAACACCTTTCCTCTTGGAAAGGGAAACAGAACATGTCCTTTAAGTAACTTCCTTCTTTCAAAGTAGTTTCATTTTTCTTTTTATTATAGATAATGTTTGGCTCAAAATTTGTAGCAAAGAAACTATTAGGAAAATAACACACACATAGCACACACAATTTAGAAGGATGAAACAAAATTATAGGAAATGAGAAGACTCCCTAGAGCCATAGAAAATCAATTTCCATTGAAGGGGTTGGTTTAAGCCCT